GATAGATTAAAATGGGACACCCTGTATATTAACCTAAAAGATACTATATGGAAAATATAAATCCTTTTGATGGTACCATATATCTTCATAATTATAATGAAAATGCTAATGCTAAAATCACATTATATACTATATTATGACAAATGACTTAAAAATATACATCTTATAAATAATAAGACGTCTTAATATATAAATGTTGAGTAAAAGAAATGTCAAATATAATATAACATAATTAGGTTTGAGATTTCTTTCAATTATGTATGGTACAGAAAATCTAAATTATATAGATATAGATTTTCACATAATAATATTCCTGCTAGATTCAGACTTATGCAATTGTTTCAACTGTGATTGCAATCACTGAGTCATGCTCATTGCTATGTCCGCCAACGAAACTTATTATCATTAAAAATGTTATATTTTCTGAAAATGTATTCCATGATTTCTGATAATTATTTTTTCAATAATGAAATATATTTATCACTAACCTTTGTTACGTGCTGCTCTCCGTAGAAATATAAATTTTCTTCTCTTTTTTCTTTTTGTTTCGCGCTAATTTATTTTTCTTTATTTAGATTCACATCATTTATCTAAAATATTTCTATTGATTAATTGAAGATATTCCTAACGAAGGACTTATTCTGCGTAGTATTGTTCCGTCATGCCGACACCGCGTGACCACCGTGTATCGCGTAGCGCGAGCCAATCAAAGCACTCCCGAGGCGCGTGCCGCGTGCCGATGTATTACAACAAGGATAACTCCGCGCGGAGTATAATATCGTGTAATCGAAATTTGATGTCACCTTTATTTATCGTATTGAAAGAAACTAATGGTATATTTGGACCAAGAGTACAAGAAATCTTATTTATACCAATAAATGTTATTGTAAATCTAAATCTGGTAAAATGACTTCAGGTAGTTAAATAAATTTCCTCTTACAATACATTTTCAGATACTATTTTACTATTTAAAAATAAATATAAATTTGCATAAACGAAATAATATATTGAAATTATAAGTCTTATTTCTGTGATACAGTTTATATTTTATTTAAGAATCTCATAGCTGTCATAAAATAGTTATTAATTTAACATTTATACTTCTTACAGACCATTTTAAAATGTGGTTAGAAGAAACTTATTTTCCAAATATTGATTCTAATACCGTTCTTCTTATCGATTCATGGACTGGACATTGTCCCAATATTATTTCAGATTTAACACCTGCAGGAAAACATATTTCTACCATGATTATACCGAAAGGCACAACAGGGAAAATACAACCATTAGATGTTTACGGATTTAGAATTTGGAAAAATTTTGCTAAAAGATTTTCAGATACTGTTTTATTATTGGAAAGTAATATAAATTTACATGAACGAAATAATATAATAAAATTACAATCTCTGATACATAATCAATTGTCATCCCCGCGATATCACAACTTATTTAAATATTCGTGGTTTAAAAGTGGTTATACAAACGAAAGACCAGAAGAATTTGAAAATCCAATAGAATTTAGTTTTGACAAAAGTTCAACAATATGTGATATCGAAGGTTGCAGTAATATAGCTGTAGTAAAATGTTCATGGTGCAAGAAGTCATTATGTTTAAAACATTTTTTCATCGAGTATCATTATTGTAATGAGTATAATGAGTAAACGAAACAAAATATAAATTTATTGTGTATAAACATTTAGAAATTGTTTC